TCGAACTTCGAGCCCTAGTTTCAGATTTTTGAACATAGCACCACTCGAAACCTTGCGAAAACGATGCGCATGTTTCTCCCCTACAAGACCTATATAGCCATACCCCGTGACTCCCCTCATTATTTTTCTCTAGAAGCCATGGATTAGGCCAACCCCCCGGTTTTTATTCCAAATTTTTTAAATTTCGAGCCTTAGTCTCAGATTTTTGAAAATAGTGCCACTCGAAACCTTGTGTAAACGATGCGCCTGTTTCTCATCTACAAGACCTATATAGCCATACCCCGTGACACCCTTCACTTTTTTTCTCTAGAAGCCATGGAATAGGCCAACCCCCCGGTTTTTTTCCAAATTTTTCAAATTTCGAGCCCTAGTTTCAGATTTCTGAACATAACGCCACTTGAAACCTTGCGCAAACGATGGGTATGTTTCTCCCCTACAATACCTATATAGCAATACCCCGTGACACCACTCATTATTTTTCTCTAGAAGCCATGGAATATGCCAAGCCTCCGGTTTTTTTCCAAATTTTTCAAATTTCGAGCCCTAGTTTCAGATTTTTTAACATAGCGCCACTCGAAACCTTGCGCAAACGATTCGCCTGTTTCTCCTCAACAAGACCTATATAGCCATACCCCGTGACACCCCTCATTATGTTTCTCTAGCAGCAATGGATTAGGCCAACCCCCCTTTTTTTTTATCAAATTTTTCAAATTTTGTGCCTTAGTTTCAGATTTTTGAACATAGCGCCACTCGAAACCTTGTGCAAACGATGCGCATGTTTCGTTTCTACAAGACCTATATAGCCATACCCCGTGACACTCCTCATTATTTTTCTCTAGAAGCCATGGAATAGGCCAACCCCCCAGTTTTTTTCCAAATTTTTCAAATTTCGAGCCCTAGTTTTAGATTTTTTAAAATAGCGCCACTCGAAACCTTGCGCAAACGATGCGACTGTTTCTCTTTTACAAAACCTATATAGCCATACTCCGTGACACTACTCATCATTTTTCTCTAGAAGCCATGGAATAGGCCAACGACCCGGTTTTTTTCCAAATTTTTCAAATTTCGAGCCCTAGTTTCAGATTTTTGAACATAGCGCCACTCGAAACCTTGCGCAAACGATGCGCCTGTTTCTCCTCAACAAGACCTATATAGCCATACCCCGTAACACCCCTCATTATTTTTCTCTACCAGCAATGGATTAAGCCAACCCCCTGTTTTTTTTCCAAATTTTTCAAATTTTGTGCCTTAGTTTCAGATTTTTTTACATAGCGCCACTCGAAACCTTGTGCAAACGATGCGCATGTTTCTTTTCTACAAGACCTTTATAGTTATACCCCTTGACACTCCTCATTATTTTTCTCTAGAAGCCATGAATAGGCCAACCCCCAGTTTTTTTCCCAAATTTTCAAACTTCGAGCCCTAGTTTCAGATTTTTGAACATAGCACCACTCGAAACCTTGCGAAAACGATGCGCATGTTTCTCCCCTACAAGACCTATATAGCCATACCCCGTGACTCCCCTCATTATTTTTCTCTAGAAGCCATGGATTAGGCCAACCCCCCGGTTTTTATTCCAAATTTTTTAAATTTCGAGCCCTAGTCTCAGATTTTTGAACATAGTGCCACTCAAAACCTTGTGTAAACGATGCGCCTGTTTCTCTTCTACAAGACCTATATAGCCATACCCCGTGACACCCCTCACTTTTTTTCTCTAGAAGCCATGGAATAGGCCAACCCCCCGGTTTTTTTCCAAATTTTTCAAATTTCGAGCCCTAGTTTCAGATTTCTGAACATAACGCCACTTGAAACCTTGCGCAAACGATGGGCATGTTTCTCCTCAACAAGACCTATATAGCCATACCCCGTAACACCCCTCATTATTTTTCTCTACCAGCAATGGATTAAGCCAACCCCCTGTTTTTTTTCCAAATTTTTCAAATTTTGTGCCTAAGTTTCAGATTTTTTTACATAGCGCCAATCGAAACCTTGTGCAAACGATGCGCATGTTTCTTTTCTACAAGACCTATATAGTTATACCCCTTGACACTCCTCATTATTTTTCTCAAGAAGCCATGAATAGGCCAACCCCCCAGTTTTTTTCCCAAAATTTCGAACTTCGAGCCCTAGTTTCAGATTTTTGAACATAGCACCACTCGAAACCTTGCGAAAACGATGCGCATGTTTCTCCCCTACAAGACCTATATAGCCATACCCCGTGACTCCCCTCATTATTTTTCTCTAGAAGCCATGGATTAGGCCAACCCCCCGGTTTTTATTCCAAATTTTTTAAATTTCGAGCCTTAGTCTCAGATTTTTGAAAATAGTGCCACTCGAAACCTTGTGTAAACGATGCGCCTGTTTCTCATCTACAAGACCTATATAGCCATACCCCGTGACACCCTTCACTTTTTTTCTCTAGAAGCCATGGAATAGGCCAACCCCCCGGTTTTTTTCCAAATTTTTCAAATTTCGAGCCCTAGTTTCAGATTTCTGAACATAACGCCACTTGAAACCTTGCGCAAACGATGGGTATGTTTCTCCCCTACAATACCTATATAGCAATACCCCGTGACACCACTCATTATTTTTCTCTAGAAGCCATGGAATATGCCAAGCCTCCGGTTTTTTTCCAAATTTTTCAAATTTCGAGCCCTAGTTTCAGATTTTTTAACATAGCGCCACTCGAAACCTTGCGCAAACGATTCGCCTGTTTCTCCTCAACAAGACCTATATAGCCATACCCCGTGACACCCCTCATTATGTTTCTCTAGCAGCAATGGATTAGGCCAACCCCCCTTTTTTTTTATCAAATTTTTCAAATTTTGTGCCTTAGTTTCAGATTTTTGAACATAGCGCCACTCGAAACCTTGTGCAAACGATGCGCATGTTTCGTTTCTACAAGACCTATATAGCCATACCCCGTGACACTCCTCATTATTTTTCTCTAGAAGCCATGGAATAGGCCAACCCCCCAGTTTTTTTCCAAATTTTTCAAATTTCGAGCCCTAGTTTTAGATTTTTTAAAATAGCGCCACTCGAAACCTTGCGCAAACGATGCGACTGTTTCTCTTTTACAAAACCTATATAGCCATACTCCGTGACACTACTCATCATTTTTCTCTAGAAGCCATGGAATAGGCCAACGACCCGGTTTTTTTCCAAATTTTTCAAATTTCGAGCTCTAGTTTCAGATGTTTGAACATAGAGCCACTCGAAACTTTGCGCAAACGATGCGCCTGTTTCTCCTCTACAAGACCTATATAGCCATATACCGTGACACCCCTCATGATATTTCTCTAGAAGCCATGGAATAGACCAACCCCCCGTTTTTTTCCAAATTTTTCAAATTTCGAGCCGTAGTTTCAGATTTTTGAACATAGTAAATTTTGGCTCAAAATGGTCTATATATTTTTTTTTATTAACAAAAGTTTCATTTCTGCAAATTTGTTTGTTATTTCAATTAAACAAAGACAACATAGGTGCTATTTTTTTCAGGGAACGACTACTTTTACATACGTTCTTAATTGAAATGGGTGCATTGATGGTCTAACACCTACAACCAATCCGTTGACAGATGCAGATTTACTGTGGTACTGAATTTGTACCCTGAAAAGGAGTGTGGCTTGTTTTATAAACAGATGTGGTAAATCCTATTTCATGATAGAAATGTAAATAGCAGTTTCTTGGCTGAATTTCTGCCTTTTAAATATTTTTTTTTTGAACGGCCGTTGCTGTCTTTTGCAATTTTTCGGTTTTTAGATATATCGCCTTATTGTTCGCTAGTTATTGTTCGCTAACTTCAGCCTAAACCAAGAGTTCCAAGTGGTGAAGTTCAAATCATCCCTTCGTAAGTTTTACGGACGCCATCACGAGTTGGTTGACCGTTATTGAATATCAGTTTCACAGATGATAGAGAATATGTTCCTAATGTCGTAACTACAATCCCGTTCCCCCCCCCTTTCCCGAATGTTACCTACCGAATTAGACTTATTACCGGGTGTGTACTTAAATGAGCAACATGACGGGTGCCACATGTGGAGCAGGATCTGCCTACCCTTCCGGAGCACCTGAGATTACCCCAGTTTTTATGTATGTCTGAATAATTATTAATTTTAAATTACAGCACAATGACTTGAGTGTGTAGGTATAGGTGATATCTTTGGTAAGCTTGCTTGTTAGCTGAACCTTGAAATCATTATTAGTTAAAGTACCACCTTCCTTTGGACGGAGTCAATTATCATAGTTAAGCAGAGAACCAATCAAAAGTAAGGACAGTGCATAAACTTTAAGAAACCAGTTGAGAAATATCATGAATATGTTTTTAATCTTGATTTAAAATATAGTGTCAATTATAAGCGATTTGACAATCATGTTGTAGGTGTGTTTGATTTGTGATTTTGATTTAATCAAAACAATATAATACCATTTTTACAATAGCATGGTGAGAGGAATATCTCACAGATTTGATCCGAGTAAGTTTATGTTTACACATTCTGTAGCACTCCCACCAAAAATACAGATTAAAATAAAAGATAATGATATCCTTATAATATTATAAACATATATAATAAGGATATGAAAAGTTATTTTTTAAATCGATTCATAATGTTATATAGAATTACACTTGTAAACAATCAAGTTATAAATGAACAGCTGTAATTGATTGAAATGAAATTGACAAATCAAACACACCTACAACCTGAAAACATATTTTTGAACTAACTTGTAAAACAGGTTTCACAATATTTATATACTGTTTCTACTTTTGATTGGTTCCCTGCTTAACTATTGCCTCCGCTCAAAAGAAGGCACTACCTTAGCTGATACTGATTTCATGGTTCAGCTAGCAAGCAAGCTAGCCAAAGATACTACCTTTATAAACAAAGGATAAACATGTATAAGATGCTGAAAAATATCGCCCCTATCCAAATGATCAGTTTATTCACTATAGAGATACAACACTATATAGAAAAGGGGCATGCACTTCACAATTTTCAACCGAAAAATAAGTTTTATACAATAAGGAGATTCCATGTAACATCTTTAAAGAATTGCACACCATCAAAAGTCTCATAATTTGTCTACTATCGATGTGGCGCCTGCATTTAGAACAGAGCTATATTACTTAAAGCACGTTCAATAAAAGTGTGAAAAATTACATTTGAAACAACTGGAAAGGAAGATACAAATTTGTTATGCAAACATTATATTGTAGTTTAATTTCACATCAAATATATGTTAAGTATCACTTAATACAAATTGTATAACTTCAAACAAATTGTATCTCAATCATCAAGGATAATTTTTACACCATATGCATAACAAAGATATTTCACTGCTGTTATGTCAACTTTACACTCATATCCTGTTTTAAATTCGCCGTTTACAGAAACAAGAATCTGATTTTTAGCTTTTACATTAATTGTCAATTCGAAGGGATTGCCGAAGTACACACCTTTCAAATTTCTGTCCACAATATATAGTTCTTTTTCCCACTTTTTATCAATGCGTGTATTCAATACAACTTTTGACGATTTAGCTCTTGGGTTGAACTGCAAAGCAATATTTGCATAGTCGTCATGGTTTTCTTGAAAATTGACAGCAAATCCACTGAAATGAAAGAAATTTAAAAAAGAACTGTATGGCAAAATAAATGAAACGTAAACTTAACATAACATGTAAAATTCTTTTCAGTATGATTTATTGGTAGTACTATTGTAATTATATATGTTGCTTTATAATCTGTTTTCTATCATATCAGATATACGATGATTTTAATATCATATATACATGTATCAATCATGTGATAATAGATTACAGCGATTAGGAGGTCATGTAGCCTTTTGTCGGTAGAAATCAAAGATTCAAAATGTTTATGTGCTGTTTGTCCTCCTATCGCGAGTACTGGTGAAGTGATAAAGAGGTTGTGTCGGGAGTCAAACCAATGTTTCAAGTAGGGTATCATGTTTTTTTTGGACTGTTTCCCTGTGAGATAGCTATCACATTAAAAATATGATCTAGTACAAACTCATCATATATGACAGTTATATAATTTGGAACGAGTGATTTATCTTTATCTTATGAAGATGGTTATCGACCTTTATATGCATGTTGAATATGTCGCTGTACGTTAACCAGCCACACAATCCCTCCATTCATCTAAAAAATTTAAAGAGTTTTACGGGCGATGATGTATCTTTATAATAGAGTTGTAAAGTTCAATGTATACGAAACTAATTAAGCTATTTGTGACTTTTAATGTTGATTATAGTTGAAGAAATAACTCGGTATTTCCGATACTTACCCAGGGACAGATGCAAGGCTTTTATCCTCACACATGACTTTAAAGGAAACAGACTTTCCAACATCGAGCTTTTTCTGCACGGCTGATAATTCAACCTGTGAAGAGAACAAAATATAAAATAACATTCACTATTGAAAGGTGACCATTACAAGAAATAAGACGTAAAAAAACCAGAATCACTGCTACATGTAAGGGAGCTACCATTTGATTGTTATGGGTATGGGAGGGGGGCTAGGGTGAAATTTGAAAAAAGGCAGGACAAGACTTTTTGAATAAAAAAAAAGGCAGGATGAGCGACTTGGCAAAAAAAAAGGCAGGATGACAATTTATGTGAAAAAAATCAGGATAAACTAATGAAAAAAAGGCAGGACCGAATAGAGTGCAGGACAAAATTTTTCATCCTAGGCTAGCTCCCCCATAAAAATCAAATAGTAGCTCCCCCATAAAAATCAAATGGTAGCTCCCTAATATAAGAAATTATCCTTTTAAGGAGTACTGTTAATTGATAAACGCAGATCAATTTCCTTTAAAAACAAAATTCTATAATGTTGCAATCCTTATATTCTTTTTTAAAGATTTATCTTTACAAGAACTTTTTTGAAAGGACATTTTGAAAGTAGAAACGAATGCTAATAAGACTTCAACCAACAGCATTTTCTGTTATATAAAATAAGGATATGTAATATGACTACAAATGAGACAACTATCCATTGGAGTCTAAATAATGTGGATTTAAGCCACTGTTGAATAGTCAACTTTACTAAGTCAGGAATATGACAGTTGTTTGTTTGAAGTGTTTGAGCTTTTGATTTTGCCATTCCATAAGGGAATTTCCGTTTTGAATTTTCCTTGGATTTTACTATTTTTGTTATTTTATTTTATACAAGTCCATTTATTGTCGAAATTAGCATTTTGACAAAATAATGCAAATACAAGAAACTATATTATGATAATTGATACATTGTATTGCTATGGACAACAATCGCTTACGATTTATTTCAGGTACATTTTTAAATTTGTATAATTTTAGTTTCATTGTAATAAGTGAAGTCAATGATATGCAAGATTTATTTTTATAGTATTAACGTGAGTCATTAAGTTTTTGCATAGATGTTTGGTTAATATGCATGTATCTTCAAATATTTTGGCCTCGAGCGTCATCGAACGGAACATTGATTTCGAAATGCGCTCCTGGTGCGGTAAAATTGGTACCATTAAATTAAAAAGCTATTATGAAATTTAATATGAAGGACTAAACAGTTTTCATTGATAATTTTGTAAATAGGCGTCTATATCAGCCATATATGAATACTTGTAATTTGTTTTTTTTACAGAAAGTTACTTTCAAATCTAATTTTAATTGGAATAGACGATTCTTCCCTAATCTCTTAATAGTAAAAACAATCAAAATGACAAGAAGCTGGACTCATATCTTTCCAAATTTAAGATGATTGACAAAAGTGTCCTTCAATTGTATTGCAGAAAATCACCGTAGTCATTTATACTTACATAATTCATTTCAATGGTTGTGTGTACTGAAAAATATAAATGAAAAGATTGTTGTTTATGCAGGCGTCACACTGTCCCGAAATTGACACTAGATGGTCATACGAATATGGAATTTTGAATTTCGTGCGAAGATGGTCAACAGCCAATCAATATTACAATAAACTCGGTTTTTTGTTGTTGAGAAGAAGATGAGTGTATAATGATAATTTGTTTGAATGAAAAATAAAGTATGGTTTAAGCAATTATTGAATTAAAAAAAAAATCTACAATATAAAGGTATGTTACGCTAAAGAATATATTTCTTTCCTGCAAAGACCTTATTCATAGTCCGGAATTGGCTATACTAAAGGTACTTGTTAGTTTTATCAGCCCATCAACGTTGATAATGATTGGATTTGCAAATATGTTGACCTCGAACATCACTAAAGAGACTTCAATTGGCAAAATCACTAATTCGTTTTTCAATCTAGGCTGTAATTAGTTATTCTAAAACAGGCTCATTGAAGAAATAAAATTACACCTTTTAGTTATTTTTGTTTTGTTTAGTTGACTTATATAATTCTATTTCATATCTTTAGGCCACATCAATTTGTTTAATAGTTCTTCGGACAAAAGCTCCAAAAAATATGAGGCGAGCGAGCGAAATTTTTTTGTTTTTATATATTTCTTGAAAATGAGTTTTTTTGAGGCGATTGCTCTGCAAGTGAAGCGAGCGGTATATATGTTTGTTTTTAAATTGTTTGATTTAGAAGTTGTACAATTTATATACATGTTATAACTGGGTTGTTTCATAGAAGAAAGAGGAGCAACAGATGCTCTAATGCATATAATTTGATTTATTGGTGCCTGTACCATATCTGACTTTCTTGTCTCTCTGTGGTTTACTTAATTTTGGTTATTTTCTTCAAGTAAGCCTTGTCTATGTGAATTTTCATTTAAATCTATATATATATTTAGAAAGCATAGCAGATGCAGTTTCACAAGAGTAAGTATGTTAGTTAGTTAAATGACACATGTTGAATAAAATTAAAATATGTGTATGTATCCAAGAAAATTCCCATGAAAGATATTTGATAGAGTCTATTATATGGTAAATATTTTTTATTGTTGTAGTTCAGTGTTTCTGTTTTTCCGTTGTTTTCCTCTTTTAGTTGATGTGTTTCCCTCGGTTTTAGTTTGTTACCCGGATTTGTTTTTGCTTAATCGAATTATGACTATTGAACAGCGGTATACTACTGTTGCCTTTATTCATTGGCTGCTTGACATCCAGTTGGACTATTATGCATATTTAGAATCAAAATAATGAGTGAGGTGAATATTTCTTGCTTTGTACTAAAACAACATCCTGAGTAAGATAGTTATATTGCTATACATGTAGATCCAAATGTATTAAAATATTCCCTTGAAAAACCTGTCACCCCATTCACATGCATTTTTCTTACTGAGAAAAATACTCTTTCCTTTTGCTCCTAAAAGCTGTAATGCATTTAAAACTCTTTAGCGTGACTAGAAATGGTTGAACCAATTACACACCCCTAATTATTATGAGCTTACCAATCACAATACGGCATCACCTTGGTCTCGTTGGAACTCTTTAAATTCCCCCCAACAAAAGAAGAGTTCTGCTTGCATGCCAAAAGACTAACAAGGGGATATGGGGTTTTATCAACATCAAATACTTCTGTGATTTTTAAAAAGTTCATGGGAATTTACAATTCATTTCATCCAAAAGATAGATGGATAGTCGACCTTCCCAAGGATAGAAACAAGTGCCTGAGTCTATGCCTGTTGAAACAAGGATCTTGTGTGACGATGGTTCTAACAAATACATGTATTGATGTGTTTGTGGTCATTTAACGAAAGATTTTTTATTTTTGCATCCTAGAACAGGTCTTTAAAGGTAAAACGAGACGCATTTCGGATAACTGTGTGTTCAATAACTTCTTGTCCACGGCAATGAGCTGACACAACTGCATGTTGGCATCACGATTTTGACCCTTTATTTACAAATCGATTTATCACACGTGTGTTTAAAAAGATAGGAGCATTATATGCAACAGAAAAGCGTCTATGTGAAAAGAAAATTTCAAGGAGAACTAATTTTGGAGCGGCATGCGGACCAAAAATTGCAGAAGCGGTAATGTTTTTTTTTTATTGAAAAGTCAATTTCTCCAAAACAGGAGCAGGACAATCCAAAGAACTACTAATCAAATTGTTGTGGCCTTACAAAACAATTTTATTAATTTTCATGAAGTTCAAATTGCAAAAAAAAAAAAAATCCCCACCCGCATTGTAAAAGAAATACATTCAAAATATACACTATGCACCATAAAAAAAGTAAGAATATATCTAATGTAAATAGAATAGGAAGGACACAACTGTACATAGCAAAAAGTATAAAGACGAACAAATTCCTTTTTACTCTGTTCTGTTTTGAAACTAAAGTTCGTGCTCCCTCAGTCAAAGGTGGATTTTACTATTCATTTTGTGGTTTAGTTATATAGCTCCCCCAGTATCAATTATTTATACATCCTTGTCTTTTTTTTAAGTTTGAGCGTTCCTGGTACAGGTAACTCAAAAAAAAAAATAAAAAAAAAAAATGGACGCCAAAATTCATAAAGTCTAATTTTCGTTTACTAATGGCTGAGACATGTCTTAGGATGTAAAACAAAATACCTGATTTACGATTGTTCTCAGTCTTATGTTAGACGATCTTTTGCTAATCAATGAATGCAAATAGAAAAACATACATACTATATTCATAACAGTTTTAGCATGAACATTAGTTCTATTCTAACACAAAATAAACCATTACAACTGAAGAATAACTCGATACATAATGTACATTATCATTTATAGCTACTATTCAAAACAAAAAAATGTCAAAAATATTTTTTAATTTGAAATTTAACCGAACAGATATTATAAGATGGTATAACTGTGCTGTACAAATGTGTATATCAGAATTGACCCTGGCCCACTCGATTTTATTTCCATATCATTATATGGCTTGGTGATAATTTTTGATTCGTGTTAAATACTTTCAAAATAAGTTAACTCAGTGTTTATCTTATTCGTTCTAGAAGAAGTATAACATTTATATTTGTAAGTTTTACTTCAACTTTGGACATCTTAAGTTCTAAGACTATCTTAAGAAGATCTTAGGACACCTTTATCCTTAATTTAGGACAACTTTAGGGATATATCTTATCTTGATTGCTACCCTGTCAACCCAAACGGTCGCGCTACTTTTGGTGTTAATGCGATTCCCTCAGTCTAATTTTTATGCCCCACCTAGGGGCATTATGTTTTTCGGTCTGTGCGTCCGTTCGTCCGTTCGTCCGTTCGTCCGTCTGTCCCGCTTCAGGTTAAAGTTTTTGATCAAGGCAGTTTTTGAAGAAGTTGAAGTCCAATCAACTTGAAACTTAGTACACATGTTCCCTATGATATTATCTTTCTAATTTTAATGCCAAATTAGAGTTTTGACCCCGATTTCACGTCCACTGAACATAGAAAATGAAACTGCGAGTGGGACGCTTCATGTTAACGTTTTTGGTCAAGGTAGTTTTTGATGAAGTTGAAGTCAAATCAACTTGAAACTTAGTACACATGTTCCCTATGATATGATCTTTCTAATCTAAATGGCAAATTAGAGTTTTGACCCCAATTTCACGGTCCACTGAACATAGAAAATGATAGTGCTAGTTGGGCATCCGTATACTATGGACACATTTTTGTTTTTAACTTCTTTACCTTGATTTGTCCTCCTAGCTGATTTATAAAACTTGAACATCGTTAAAATATTGTTGCCTGAATTTATCATAGAAGGCTTTCTTTAATTTCAGCCTAAGAAATGTCGTAACACCATCTTAAGACAAGTTCCAATCCTAAGACAGCTTTTTGACATGGCCCCAGGCCTACATTGACTATCGACAGCATGTAGTCAAACCTGATTTAAACTACATGTAAACATTGATTTTTATCAATGGGAACGTAATAGACTTTATTTTGAATGTTGATTGAATACACTTACACCACACCGAGTTAAGCGTAATATAAGCACGACCTTAGCGTTTAATTGGCTCTCATGTTTAAATCAGTGTCTAGATCTCATCATTTTATACCGTCATATAATTCGTACACTACGAAGACAGATTTTGTTTCAGAACTAACTAACCACAAGATTTAACAGTACTGCTATCTTATGATTGCTGAATGTAAGAAAAAAAACTCCAATGCACAAACAAAATAGCATTACATGTTACTGTGTAGAGCTTATATTGTCTCGTAGGGTAGTTTATCGATAGGAGACAGTCGTCAACTATATATATGGCAAATTCAGTCTTGATACATGTTACATGAACTCTCACCAATAGTGTTGTCGATCAGCAACTTAAATCGCCTAGCACGTTCCTTCTTTGCCGAATGTTACACAATAAAGTTATCCCTCTCTTAAATTTGACGTTTGATAAAATTAAAGATATTTACTTTCTAGTAGGTAAATTAGTATGTAAGCATAATAACAAAGGCAATTAATTCATTATTTAAATAAAAAAAGAACCTTGGTTGTCTTTTTAAAAACCTCGTTGATAGTAAGTGTCAATAAATACAAAACAATAGAATATTGGTTATAAACATTGTATGATCAAATAATAGTTATTTTACACCTGAGTAACATGAACATGATGAACACCCAAGACGCTTTTTTCTAAAATCATTTAAAATTGAAAATATGCATGCATTACTTGAATTAGATACGGTCTATTGCACTGTCTAATATTGTTGGTAATTACTGTATTTTTAATGTCTCATTTATTATTTTCTTGTTGTTATCATTTCCATTCAAATGTTTACTTTTAAATAACGAGGCCTTCTGTACAAAAATATTCAAGAACATCATGATTTTTAAAAAGATACAATTTCTAATAAACTTGACTAACTTATGACAAGAATTGATATTTAACCACTTTAATCAAACATTGACCGTGAAAACAAGAACAACGTCAGTTTTGTTCAATATCTCAAATAATAAATGTTGAATTTAAATATACGAAAAATCTGATAAATATGCTACCAAAAATTTGCAGATATAACATTGTTCGGCTTAACTGCAGGCGAAATTAACCATTCAAAATTTGTTTGATAAAGGCCATGTTTTTTTTCATCTGTGTTGCATGTTTAGTGTAATACAATGTAATATTTTCAAATATACCAAGTTTATCATTTAGTAGACTAGACGCGAATGTCGTCTACAAAACAGTTGAACAATCAAATCAATTAAGAAATTAAAAAGAATTGCAAATATAAAATTCTAATATATTTTGCCAAAAAGTTAACTGCTAAGCCAGCAATAAGGTTTATTATGATTTATAAGAAGTGAAGGATGAAAGCATTTCCAAAAGACACTGAACAAAGCAAGTTTACGAACATGCAGAAATAATAATATATTTTATAAATAATGTTTTGAATGACAAATAATATTAACATATATATAAATTATATTGCAACAGGCATAAAACATGTTCTCTGTAACACTATGCAACCACGAAGAAAAGTTTATAACTTATTAAACAAGTCATCGACGCTTCGTTTAATCCCTAATCATGACGTTTAAGAAAAAATATCAAAGTCGTGAAAACGCCAAAAATGGCATCTTCTTAGAAATACGAATGTTTCAAACAGAAGTCATCAGAAGTAGCATAATTGTGACAAAGCAATGTTTTGAGAACTTTTTTATTCCTGTCTACTGGCTAGAAAAAAAAACCTGTTCTCCTGCTGAGAGAATAATATATACATTTGCAATTACAAAAATGCAATTTAAACATTGTTTGACGTAATTGAAACGTAATAAGAATACCGTAATAAAGGCGGTCTATATATTAGACAGACTAATGTTTGAAATTTCATTCTGTAATAGATTTTGAAGAATTTAACTTTATTCAAAACATTTCATTTTGTATTTATGATAAATGTGCATTTGAAACAACATTTATTTGTTACTTCATGAAAGCTGAAAGATTTTATACGATACACATATGTCTATTTATTTTATTTTTAAAAAGGGCAGTTATTAAAGGTTCATATTCGAAGACTTAATAGTATTTTTTCTTTAAAAAAGAGGCAAAAAAAAAAAAAACAAAAAACAAAGGTAGGATCAATATTAATGATAATTGCATCTCGTACATAATTCTTCTAACATTAACTTAAGTTAAAATGAAAATATATAAAAATAAAAGAATATTCAACATAACAATGTAAGCTTGAACATGTTACGTTGATAAATTAGAAATGACAAATGTTAAACAGCTCTCGACGAGACAAAATATGTTTAACTGACTAGTGCGAGTCTGAACTTGTAAATGTTTCCTTTCATCGAAATACTAGTGAACTTGTAAAAATAACAATCCCAAGATGAATTTAAAATCAATAAATGTATACATCCGGAAATGCAATAGTTATACAAGGTGTTCTAAAATAAAACACAAAAATGTATGAATATGACAAATTAAAACATTTCCAAACAATTGCATTGTTTTGTAAAAAAATAATAATACCATTTCATATGTTTTATGCGTTTGAAGCACATTTCTAGATTTACCTTCATAGGGAAAAAGCGAAAGATTTGAGAACACGGGTGCACAAGAAGGTGGTGAAATCAAAGACTTACCTTCGAATTTATCTGTATTATCGAGATTTCCAAAGTTCCTAGGGTTGACCGTTTTATACTCAAATTACTGCTTGTCACATGGGTTATTTGCATAAACATATTATTATATTTTAACCAACAAAACTTTTAGCGTTTATAAAGAGTTTTTAAAAAACGGGACTATTTTGTAAATACTTTTTTTTTACTGTCGACATGCGATTACATCGGCTTTGTTGACAATAAAGTGGGCGTTAATTCTATAACCATTATTAACACTACATTGTAGTAATGTTTGATAACTTCAGAATTATACACGTCTTCACCATAAAGATGAATGATGCAATTTATTTATTTTATACAGAAGTCATAAACAATAATTTTAGCTGATACACACACTAGATTGATTGAATTTAGCCAAAAATAGAAATATATATTCTTTGAGTGATTGTTCTGGCCAACAAAGATATCTTAGTTTTGTCACAACTTCTGTATGAAAGTGCGAGTAACCGCCAATGTAGAAACCTAATACCAATGTATGTAGCTGTGTCCACTTGTTTGATTGGAAGGAAAGTTGTCAATTGGAAAGTTGTTTAAATGTAAAAGTATTCGATGTTATAACAACAAAATGTAAATTTTGACATAAGCATGGCAAGATATTTATTGCATTCTTGTGTAGCGTGGTTTATCTTTTTTAATGTATAAAGATAAATGTGTGGTCAAAGTAACATCTCTTTGTTGTATTGCTTTGTCTTTAGTATATTTTAAGTGTTTTGTAGAGTGTCCAGTGGTGGGTTTATTTATTTTCCTTTTGTCAAAGTGCTGTCTGTTTTCTAATTACCTCATTTCATGAAGCTTTGTCTCTTTTTGTCTTAATGGATACACATACAAAGAGATTAAGATATCGCTTTTTTGAACCGATGTAAAATAAACATCATGAAGCAAAAATTTTGTTTATATATAATAGTAAATTATATACCCAAATCAATATCCTATGACTTTTTGAAAGTCTTTTAGGAGATATAAATTAACTGCATAACAGAACATTCTTGGTATTTCACGTTCGTTCTGTTATACGATACTTGAAATTGCAGTTCGATGCCAAGCATTTATTTGTAATAAGAAAAACAACTCAAATTATCTTACGGATACATTATAACATTTATGTCTTATGTAAAATGTATATGCTTATAAATCAACATGCAGACATCTTGTACGTTCAGGTATTCACATCCAATATTTTATGGTACTATTCTTTACAAAGCACAAAAATGTCGGCATTCACATCAAAAGCTAACCAAACCTTTAAACAGACTTATTTGGAAAGGATACAGTTACGATACTGTTGTCAAATCATTAAGGATTGCATATTTTGGTATTAATATTGATTCATTCATAGGGTCTTTGCATCGGAAATAAACACATTTATTCTAAAACCAGTTGTTGGCATGATACGGGTTATGTTCTTCTCATATATTTTATGATGGTATGCTACTAAACCTCTAAGGGGAGGGATTGTACTTGATTTTCATATGATGAAGACATAATCTTTCAATCAGTTTAATTGAGATCTGGAGCTGGCATGTCAGTAACTGCTAGTAGTCCTTTGTTCATTTATGTGTCATTGTCTTTTGCTTAGTTTATTTTGTTACCTATTCTGACATCGGACTCGGACTTCTTTTAAACTGAGTTTTACTGTGCGTATTGCTATGTGTTTCTTTATTCTACATTAGCTAGAGGTATAGGGGGAGGGTTGAGATCTCAAAAAACATGTTTAACCCCGCCGCATTTTTGCGCCTGTACCAAGTTAGGAGCCTCTGGCCTTTGTTAGTCTTGTATGTTTTTTAATTTTAGTTCATTTATATGTTTTGGAGTTTAGTATGACGTCCATTTTCACTGAACTAGTACACAATTTTATTTATGGGCGAGCTGAGGACCACCTCCGGGTGCGGGATTTTCTCGCTGCGTTGAAGACCCATTGGTGGCCTTCAGCTGTTGTCTGCTCGTTGGTAGGGATGTTGTCTCTTTGACATATTCCCCATTTCCATTCTCAATTTTATTATGTCGATTTTAACGTATAATGTGTATGCAGGGCATTTTTCATAAATATATGTTAAATAAATTCATTATTGTATTTGTGACTTCAATACGGGTAAAACTTTATTTCTAGATAAATAGTTATTCTTTGACTTATTGAACACAAGAATGTCACGATTTGAAAAAACAAATGATTTGAAAATAGCTTTAGTGTACTAGAGCATGGCTAACAATTTAAAGTCCATTTATAGTATTTAAGGGCAGGTCGATAGAATGTAAAATTAGCCAGTTTAACGTTGTTTACTGTCTCATATCATTGGCTATCAATATAGATATAAAAGAATACATATTACTCCATTGAAAAACTACTGCATTGCAACAAATATATTTAAGTTGTTGTTATTTTAAGTGTTTTTATCTTTATGACAGACACTAGTCGAATTGTTTAAGAATTGAAGCTTTTTAGCATGATGCCTATCCATGATATTTGACATAGAACGAGAACATGAAATACTATTATCATTTTTTAATTATACCAAACATCAAACACCTTTTAAAATTGTATTTGTTTTAGACAATTTTGATATTTATGCTTAAAACCATTATGTATTTGTCTTGCAAAAATAAAGTTTTCAACGGCAATTGGTGAAAGTTAGTCCAGTGCTCTTCAAAGTCGTACTGTGTTTGGCCTTCAAAACTTTTTTATTCGAGCGTGCTTGCGTAAAGAATGTTAAGCCATAATTATAAAGTACGGTATGGTCAATTAGCTCTCCTATTATTCCGTATTTATATATTATTGCTTTTAAAATCTTTGAATTATGACGAATGGTAATCCATAAAAGCGCTTCGGACGCACCAACTTTGTACAAGTTTAATTTTCAATATTCATTACACAACATGATTGAATTGCTATATTATATATTAACATGACAAAAATATAGGGTTAAATGGGTACTTATTGTACCAGTCTGTAATTATCTATTTACAGATTGATCAAGTATATTGTGAAAATATTCAATAATTTTGCATAAGGGCACTACTGACTTTATTAGAATTCTTGAACAGTAATGATAAAACATAGAGAAGCAAATGTGTGCAAATGTATATGCATGGTGTAAGATATCATGGATGCTGGTCAGAAAGTTACTAAAGCTATAAAAAGATTGCATGTAATATATATAAATATTTGTTTTAGTATATTTGCAACCTGAGACAATTTAAACTATGCGTACTAATAACTTGTTTATTGAAAGCTATTTTTGTCCTCTAAAAAAGGCGGATGACAATTGAAAGACACGAATAGAAATTAGACTGTTGTTTGATGAAAGTGCTATTTGTTTACACAATAGAAACATGAAGACTCGTTTGTGGTCATAAATGTATATAGTTTGAAAAAAAAAAATTGGGAAAGAAAATATGAGTTAAAGTTATATATTATTTTCTCTTTTACAGTTAAATGTTGAACGACCTTGACCACCTACCAGGGTCTAGCACGGTCGGATATTTTCTCATTGCCTTTGTTTCATTTTGAACTTGTTTGTGCTTTTTTATATTTCCTTGACCCACATTTTGATATCAAAGTACAGTGTGGTATTCTTTAAATTATTGATTACAGGAATATAATGGTTTTCAAAAAATAAATTTCTAATTTTTATTCAATGAACCAGGACATTAATTGCCATTTAAACCCTTTTATAATATCCAAGGTTGGCTACAGAATAAAAAAGAACAGCGTTATTTACCTTTTACATCATTGAGTTTTAATATAAATATGAATCGTGAAATTTATACATTATATATACTAGTAGATATACAAAACGTTTTTCTTCCGGTATGCTCGGAATTGTATAATGCAATGAGAATAATTATCATATAGTCTCTTCAAAATAAATAGTATATTTCCGGACGTATCTGGCTTCCGGCCAGTGTTACAACAGATGTTTTTTTGAAACGTTGACTGTAAATCCTTCAATCGCGATATCGGAATACAAGAAATGACAATAAAGCTGCGGAATGGCTTATAATTATGCTATTGGTGAGAAATATGTAAGTGATTTGTATCAACTCGGTTGTAGTTTGTTTAAAACTGATTTTTTTTGTATTATTTTTCTCTGATTTTATATTTTCGACAAACGATTATGACATGTATCAAAACAATAAAAAAAACATGTTTTTTGGCAGATTAACAATGATAAGAGCACGTGCTTTATCTCTCTACATTGTTCATGACGTTACTGTCTTTGTCAAAACATTTCGTCAGTCCTTTGAAGCACGTTGTATTTACTAATATTTTTGAAAAAAAGCAGTCTTGATGCTCAGTTTCATTTCTCAATCATGATATTGGAACCAATAGAGGTCATAAGGAAGCCAATAGTTCGCAAAATTTGACAAATACGAATAACAGCATTGTTTTGATAAAAGCAAGGTTTAAGGATATTGTATTTTTGTCAACTGTTCGAACACGTACATGTATGTAGTCTAACTTCGATTCGGCGGACGGAATAATATTAATTTTGACAAATCAAAAATATGATTCGAACATTGTTGTTAGACTAAATTCAATATGGAAGAGGTATTTATAATATATTAACTATTCTTAAAGATCTAATAGGGGGATAAGGGTTGTGTTTCAAAATCTCTAGGTTTCCGTGCAGTGCTTTGTAGACTGTTCAGTGTCAGTATATTTTTATTTCTTTTTGTCATGGTGTTATCTTTTATCTGATTGACTTTTTATATTGTCTACATTTTACTTTAAAGTGAGCCAGTAGTACCTTATCGATATTCGAAACTTTTAAATACATTATGAATACACAAATGAAATTAAAGAAAACATTAGGGAATCGCATAAACCCAAAACGAAGCTAAACAGATGCACGGTTCCGATGACTGATTAACTGGAAGTGTTTTTTTTTTCTTCTTTTTTTCGCAATATATACACATAT